GACGCGCGTCCGCAGCTGCGGCCGGCCGGCGCGCTCTTCTCCAGCACCTCCAGCTGGCCTGCAGCCCTACCAAGCAATGTTCGGAGAACCTTTTTCCCAACCATCCTGTGGTATTGGGTCCTCGTTTTGAAGAGACGTCGCCCCGCGTTCTCCTCCTCTCCTCTCCTCTCCTCCTCTTCCCTCCTCCCCCTCTTCCTTGCGTTTCACCCACCCAGTACAGCGTTTCGTAGCCCCATAGGGAGCTCCACCGAAGGCCCCAGTGGCAGGGTTCGCATGGCGGCCTCGGGCCATTTCGGCACACCCCTCACCAGGATCGTGGCCCCATAGGGAGCTCCACCGAAGGCGCCAGTGGCAGGGTTCGCATGGCGGCCACGGGCCATTTCGGCACACCCCTCTCGAGGATCGTGGCCCCATAGGGAGCTCCACCGAAGGCCACCGAAGGCCCCCAGTGGCAGTGTTCGCATGGCGGCCTCGGGCCATTTCGGCACACCCCTCTCGAGGATCGTGGCCCCATCGGGAGCTCCACCGAAGGCCCCCAGTGGCAGGGTTCGCATGGCGGCCACGGGCCAGTTCGGCACACCCCTCACGAGGACCGTGGCCCCACAGGGAGCTCCACCGAAGGCGCCAGTGGCAGGGTTCGCATGGTGGCCTCGGTCCATGCCGGCACACCCCTCACGAGGATCGTGGCCCCACAGGGAGCTCCACCGAAGGCGCCAGTGGCAGGGTTCGCATGGCGGCTTCGGGCCATTTCGGCACACCCGTCACGAGGACTGTGGCCCCACTGGAGCTCCACCGAAGGCGCCAGTGGCAGGGTTCGCATGGCGGCCCCGTGCCATTTCGGCACATCCCTCACGCGGATCGTGGCCCCATAGATGTGCTGCTTCAACAACCGCGCCTTGGCGTCGTACACCGCCTTGTCGACGTGCAACGCCACCTCCTCCCTCATGGCTCTCAAGGCCCTCTCCTGCTTCTGCTCCTCGGTGAGAGGGGCGCCGTCCTTGTCGTCGTCGGCGCCCGCGAAGGCGGCCACGAACGTGTCCCTGAGCATGTCGGGTTCCGGCGGGAAGCCGTGGCCACATAAAGAGCGCGGGCGAAGATGGTATTCACAAGCGCGGCATTCACAACTGCATATGGTTGGGTCATTCGCCAGGCTAATTGTTATGTTCGTTCCACGACACGTTATCGGAACATTTCTGGCGGAGCCTGTCTTGTTTATCACACCGGTGTTATGTTATGAGAACACCGTTTTTGTTATTAAGACATGTTTGGGTTCTGAGAACATTTCGTGGTAGGACTATAGGAATGCCGAGACGGTCGGTCCCTGCTCAAGCACCCCTCGCGTCGGGTGTTGCCAGAAGTGCCCTGGCCCAGCCAAGGCGCCCCCAGGATTTCCAGGGAGCCCCCCACGACCTCCAGAGAACCCCTCACGAGGCCCAGAGGACCCCAGGGGTTCCAAAATGGATCGAAAAGCTGGGGGCACCTTGGGCCAGGGGCACCTCTAGCAACCCCCGGTCGCTTCCGGGTCCAGGGACCATTAAACAGGGATCCGGCACCCAAAAAGTTGCCCCACGGGAAATGTCGTGTCGTGTTCTACCGGCGCGGCGTGCACGGGAGGGAAGCGTCGCAGTGCGAGGTTGTCGGGCGCCCTCGTCGATTCTCCGCGGTTTCCGAGCCTCGGGATGCCTTCAGGCAGCTGCGCCTCGCCGAGAGCGTTCTGGCGGTGTCCAGATCGTCGCAAAGGCCGCCGGAAGCAAGAGTGATGGCCGGAAAATCGGCATCCAAGCGTCGCACGCAAGAGGCGACGCGAGGTTTTTGGCCGTGTTGGGTCTCTTTGGGAGGCCCTCGCCTCGCTGGGCCCTGAGGCTGTCAAAGAGCGGTTCGGGATGGGAAGCTGATCCCCGGGAAGGGGTCCCCAGAGCTCTGGGAAGCCACGTTGCAAAAACATCCAGGCCTCCCAGATGGGGTCCGCGCAGATGTGGTTCGATGATCGCGCCGCATCGACGATGCACCGACAATGCGGTAACCGAGTGCGGGCGATAATAAACTCTGCCCCCCTCGTTCCCCCTCCTATTTGTAAATCCCCGTCCAACAGGATTTAATTGTGGAGGGGGGCGCGGAGGCCGAACTTTATAATCCACTGGGAAAACTGCGGATCGAAATTGTGTTCATCTCGTGTTGGTAGCAGCAGTATCAAAAACGCTGAGCATGGCCATGGTGGTCTCACCACACCAGCTTCCGCAATCACGAGCGTGTGGCAGGGCTGTGGGATTTTCACCAGTTCAATTTGCCCACGTTACGAACGCGCGGCAGGGCAATGGGATGATAATGTGCTTAGCTGTTCCCGAGTCAGGAACGACGTGTGGCAGGGCCATAGGGACCGACTGGGTTTTGATTGTGCATGCGTTTTTTCCAGCAGACAGAACATTGGAGTTAATTTAATTACGTTTTAACGCACCCCGTCACACGGTGCGTGGCCGTTCCTCCTCCTCCTCCTCTTGTTCCTTCTCCTCCGCCTCATCATCATCATCGTCATCAGCATCATCATAAACATCATCTTCATCATCGTCACCATCATCACTATCATAACTTACCTTCCCCGGGGAAATATTGCATTATCCCCGCCAGGACCCAGAATTTTAGTATCCGCGGGGGTATTATTATCGCCCACACTCGGTTACTGCAGTGTGATGTGGAATTCGATGTTTTGCACGCCCGGGGCGCCGAATCATCGCCGGCGTCGCCGACGCATCACCTATGCATCGGCGATGCATTGGCGATGCTTCTCGTGCCCATCGTCCCATCTACTCCTAAGTCGGGCCTGTCCCTCTGCAGGAGGCATGTTCGAACGTAGTAAAAAAGTGGTCCGGGGACGATTGCTGGAGTATGTTTGATTCGTCGGGGGTGTGGTCTTGAGTCTGTCGACGATCTCGTCCAACACCCCCTCTGCAGGGGGACGCGCCCGACTCACATCTACTCGAGCTCCACTGACGCGGCGGCAGAAGCGGAGTCCACAGCGCTGACGCTCGCGCTCGCAGGCTTCCCGCGGGAGGCCGCGCGCCGGCGCCCTCTCGGCCCCACGCGGTGTGCCGCGCCTGCGGTCTCTGCGGGCTCCGCGGCGCAGGGGCGTTGCGCCGTCGCGCATAAGACCCGCTTGGCATCGCCCGGACGTGTGCATTTTCCCTTCGGCGAGGACGATCGAGGAGCATCCTTGATCAGTTGGCGAAAAGACCACGCGCGAAACCGAAAAAAACACAGGGAGTGGACGCCCGAGCGATGGCCAGTAAGACCCGCTGTGTTTCGTCGCTCGTGTGGGAGGCCTCTGAAACCTCACGGCGTCGGGTGCCAAGGGCCCCGGCGCGCTCGAGCCCGAGGCTTCTCGGCGTGCGCACCCCGTCTGGAGTCAGTATCGTTTCACCGATCCCCGTCCCCATCCCGAGCCCCACCACCTCACCACCCCAGTTGGGGATATGCCCTTCGAAATCCGAAGGGAGCAGCCTATATCCCCATCTAGAGCATGCTGCTTCATTGCTTGGGGCATAATGGGCATTCTAGCCCCCGACCCCATCTACCCCCCCCCCCCTATAACGCAACGCCCCTCCCCCCCCAGTGCGCTCTTTGCACTGCCGCCGTGCGCATCGGGCACACGGCGGGGGGGAGGCGTCACATTACACCCCCCCCTGGCCCCCTCCCCCCCCTTCTGATGCCCATGATCGCTGAAAGTAGAGAAGCGCGCTCCTGTAGGGGGGCAAAGCGGCCAGTGGGGCCCAGGCCACGCTGGTGGGATAGGGATCGGCTAGACGATGTTCACGTCCCTCCTTCTCCTCCTTTTTCACCTCGTCCTCCTCCTCGTCCTCCTCCTCCTCTCCTCCTCCCTTCTCCTCCTCCTCCTCCTCCTCTCCTCGTCCTCCTCCTCTCCCCTCCTCCCTCCTCCTCCTCCTCCTCCTCCTCCTCCTCTCCTCCTCCCTCCTCCTCCTCCTCCTCCTCCTCCTCCTCTCCTCCTCCTCCCCCTCCCTCCTCCTCCACCACGCCCTCGGTCCCCCCGGGGGGGGGGGGGGGGCGCCCGGAGAGCAGCCCGCGGCCCGAGGGGCCGCGTGCCGGACCTGCCGCAAGGGCAGCGCCCAGCTGCGAGGCAGCAGCCCTGCCCCCCCCCCAACAGGGGGATGCTCGGCGAAAAATTAAATAAAACATACCCCAAAGATATCCAAAAGATAGTCCAAAGATAGTCTGGGGACTCTTTTTGGATGTGTGTTTACCTTTTTGGGGGTATTTTTGGGGTTTGTATGATTTGTCGTCGAACATCTCCCTGTAGGGGAACACGCCCAACATAACCCAGGGTCGGGCCTCTCTCCGGGGGTGGGGAACGCATCCGAAAATAAAAATGGTCAGCAAATGGTCGGGGGACGGTGTTTGTTTTGTTTTGTTTGTCGGGGGGTGGATAAACCTCCTACCCTGACACGTCGATTAGCGAATTGGCCGTTTTCGGTTCGCGAGAGGGCGCCGCGGCCGTCATTTTCCAGGCCTGCGCCCGACAGGTTCGGGCCCGAGGTCGTTTGAACTAAACCACGTCTTGTCAGAGGGGGTTCTGTCCATCACCGATTCTAACGTGGTATAGAAAGCAAGACGGCGGTGATTGTCACACATTTCAGCCTCTGGAGGCCCTCGCCGGGCCCTGGAGCCGTCGAGAAACGACCCGGCATGTGTGAAGAGCCGGTCCCCAGGAGGAGGGGGGCGAGACTTCGGGGACCCTTGCATGGAACAAAAACGAGGCATCGGCTCTCTGGCTCATGGGAGAGAGTCAGGAGGTATAGCGCAGCGCGCAGCGTTCGAGACGGGCACGGAAAGAACGGGGACAAAGACCGACAGTTGTTCTTGCCCATGTTGAAGAGGACCCGCCGTCGGCGTCGCCGTGGACACCGTCCCCAACAGCGACCGCAGTCCGTTTTTCGACCGCATTCCCTGTTTGGCATCGCGCCCATTTGTTCCATACCCACTCTGGGCGT